CTCATCGGCAGCGCACGGGAGAGCCTGGCGAGGATGCTAGGAGGCCGCCCTGAGGACATTGTCTTCACCTCAGGGGGCACAGAGGTGGGAGCAGGGAGGACCCCCTTCCTGGGAATTCCTGCCCGCCACCCCTTCTCCAGCAAGCTGCCATCAGAAGGATGGAGATGAAGGCTCCTTCTGAGCCTCCGTTTTCCGTCTCCATCCTTCCTTCAGGCAAATAACATGGTGATCCACACTGCCTGCAGGCACTTCCATGAGAGCCAGTATGGGACAGGGGACAGGCGGGGCACACCTCACATTGTGACATCGAGTGTAGAGCATGACTCCATCCGCCTGCTGCTGGAGCAGCTGGGGAGGGAGGGCCTGGCTGGTGAGTGGCACAGGCACAGATGGGGTTTGAATGGGGGACTTGTCTCTACTGGTGTTTTTGTAGGGCGGCAAGATCTTACATGCTCTGTGATGTTCCACTTTCTCCCCATGGGGAAGGGCACCATTTCTCCCCGTGGTTGCCCATATTCTCCCAGGCTGGATGTGTCACCTCCCTGCTCTGTGCCTGTGCTCCCATTGTCCGCACACTCCTGTCCTGCCCAGTGGGGCACAGGCCAGCCCTGAGTGTTCACAGCCTACCCAGCCAGCCTCAGGGCTTGTCTCCTGGCCTGCAGAAGCCACCTTTGTGCCCGTGTCCCCACGGAGTGGGCAGGCAGAAGTGGATGATGTCCTGGCCGCCATCCGGCCAAACACCTGCCTGGTCTCCCTCATGTTGGCCAATAACGAGACCGGTGTCATCATGGTGAGTGTGGGCAGGGAGGGGGATGGCGGGGAGATGTCCTCGCAAAGAGGTGGTGACAGAGTGGGGCAGAAAGTCTCTGGGATGCCGACTCTTGATGATTCTTGCCATCAGCCTGTTGCGGAGCTGAGCCAGCGCATCAGTGCCCTCAACCAGCACAGAGCAGCGGAGGGTCTTCCCAGGATCCTGGTGCACACCGATGCGGCCCAGATGATTGGCAAGGGGCGTGTGGATGTGCAGGAGTTGGGTGTGGACTACCTGACTATCGTGGGACACAAGGTGTGGCCCTGCTTGTGTGGCCCAGCTGCAGATCACCCTGTGTGACATCTCTGCTGGGGTGCTAGGGGAACTTAGGTTTCCCCACACAGCTTGGTACTTCACACTGGCCAAAGTTCTGCTAATTGGTGCTGTGCAGAGAGACTTTGCTTGTGTAGAACCTGTCTGGGCTGGGGGGCAGGAGACTGAGGATGGGGAGCAGCTCTGCAGCAGCTTGTGCCTCTGCAATGGGCAGGAGCTAGCACTGGAGGGCACTCAGATTTGGGCAGGAAGGCAGGAAGCACTGTCAGTACTGTCAGTGTCCCCAGGGTCACCACAGCTGTCCCCACAGTTCCATGGCCCACGGATTGGAGCACTGTATGCCCGCAGCCCCGGCACCGCCACCCCGCTGCACCCCATGCTCTTCGGAGGGGGACAGGAGAGGAGTTTCCGGCCAGGGTAAGGGGACAGGTGGTTACTGGAGATCTGAGCCTCTGGCTGTTGGCCAAGCTACGTGGGCTGCCTTGCCTGAGCTAGGAGCTCTGTCACCTGCCAGCCCTGGGGTGAACAGCCCAGCATGGCAGGGAAATGGATCTGTGCATAGAAACTCCCTGGAGCTCAAGCTCTGCAAAGGGTGTAACCTCAGGGTGGAACTGCCTCCTTCTCAACCACCTCAGAGAGGTGTCCAGGAGCTCCTGCCAGCCCTGAGGGGTCCAATGAGGGAATGTCTGTGTCTCAAGGCTGGGTTTCTGGTCTGGAGAAAGAACTCACTGGTTCCTGTTCCCTTCCAGCACTGAGAACACCCCAATGATTGCCGGCCTTGGCCAGGTCAGTTGGGATGGTGAGGGGTGAGTAGTGCAGACCCAGCACAGAGACAGACACTTGTGCTTCCTGGTCAACAAAGGGACAAACTCAGGATGTGGGAGGGAGGGTGAATGGGGAAAGGTCGTGGGACTTTCTGGTGCCAATCCAAGGAGGTGCTTTAGGGCACTTGCCGTGGGTTTGAAGCCCTGACAGTCACCCAGCTCACATGGCACAGGGCACTGAGAGGGCACACAGGGAACCTGGCACTGCAGAGGCTGTTCCAGGCTGGGCTCACATCCTGGGAACCATGCACAAAGGGAGGTGTCCAAGGGTCACTGGTGAAGCCTGTCTGTGTGTTCTCAGGCTGCAGAGTTAGTGAACAAGAACTGGGAGGCCTACGAGGCTCATATGCGGGATGTCCGGGATTACCTGGAGGCCACACTGGAGGTAAGCACATCTGGTCCTTTCCTGCAGTCTCAGGCTGCAGGGTGTGGGGCCTGGAGCAGGGTGGGTGTGTGCCTCTGGCCCTGCTTAATCCATCATAAGGACAGAGCTGCTTGGAAACCCAGAGAGGTTCACAGCCCCTCTGATTTCTCCAGGCCTCCTTTGGGAAGCAGAGGATTCGCTTCAACAGTCACTTTAAGGGCTCCAAGAGACTCTGCAACACCTGTAACTTCTCCATCCTGGGCCCAGGCCTTCAAGGTAGCTCTTACCCTACAGCTGTCCTGTGATGGTTACACACAGCCAAGCACCTGTCCCTCACAGCACCTGTGGTTGAGACTGGCGGGCGCTTGGTGTGGCTCAGGCAGGGAGGTGAGGCAGGAGTAGCCCCTGGAGAGAGCCTTGGCACTGGGAGAGCTGTTCTTGTGTTGCTTGTGCTGCAGGACGAAGGGTGCTGGCTCACTGCAAGGTGCTCCTCGCCAGCGTCGGGGCTGCCTGCCACTCTGAGAAGGGGGATCGGTGAGCACATGGCTTTTGCAGCCCCTGGGTGTCTTCCCATAGGACAGAAGTTTGGGAAGGACAGAAATCAGGACAGGGAAAGGGACAGTGGGTGGCTTGGGCAGCATCACCTGTGTGATGAGCAAAGAGGGTACAGAGCTTTCCAGAGGGGCTGAAGGGCTGTGAAGGGGATCATTGCAGGAGACACAGCTGGAACGCTTGATTGCTGCTTGGAAGGAGTTTGTCCCTCCCAGCTTTGGTGATCCTGCTGAGTTTCGAAGTACTTTTGAACTCCTGGCACTACCAGAAGAAAGCCTGCCTTGTGTGTGTGTGCCTGGCTTATCCGTTCCAGCCCTGCTTGGGTCTCCAGATGGCTTCTTTAGGGGATATGGGGACAGTGGGTGCTTTTGGCCTGGTCTAGAGCAATTCCCCGTGGATGTGGCAGAGCTGGTAACCCACAGGGACATGGAACAAGTTTTTCTTAAAAGAGCCAGATCCCCCATAGGGCAAGAAGCCCAGTGGGATTGGGTACCCCTGGAAAGCAAACAGGGGTCCTGAAGTGTATCTGCAGATGTGGTTCCTCCTGTGGCTCACTTGTTGAGGATCCCTACTGATGTGTGGAGCTTCCTCGACCTTCAAGTCCAACCTCCTCCTCTTGGCTGTGTTCCAGGCCCTCCCCAGTGCTGCTGAGCTGCGGGATTCCCCCAGAGGTGGCACAGAATGCGCTGAGGCTGAGCGTGGGGCGTGGCACCGCACGGGCAGATGTGGACAGGGCTGTGCAGGACCTCATGCAGGCTGTGGAGCAGCTGGAGCAGGACCAGGCTCCATAGACCCCTGAATTGTTCCCTGGGCACCACTAAGGTTCTTGGGGTGGACCCCTGGGTGTGAGCTGCCTGTGCCAGCCTGGGCTAAGGGGTGGCAGGGGGAGGTTCTGAGGAGGGGGCTTGGCTGCTTTGGGGCTGGGGCAGCTCCAGGGCTTGCCCAGGACTCATCCCTGCTGCACAGTGGAGGCTTTTGGGGAGTCCTGCTGTTCAGTGCCCCTGGCTTGCCATCTAGCTGGGTGCCTGCACATGTATGTGTTTGCACACCTGAGCCCCTGCAGAGGGACAAGCGTGGAAGCCATTGAAAGAGAAGCCTCATGACCTGGTTGCTTTCCACAAAGGAAGCTTTCCTGCTGCCTGAGCAGCCAGAGGAAGAAAGACCATCTGCCCCAGAGTGCAATGAGGAATTGATAGAAGCACAGCAGGACTCTGGGCTGGGAACTGCTCTGCCCTAAGCTATCAAAGGCATTGATTACTGGATGGGCAGAGCTCTCCCAGCACTGCTTTGCTTTATTTGCTCCCCTTTTCTTCTGTCCTTCCTACAGGGGGCAGATCTCCTGTTGCCATCTCCACCTGCTCCTCAAGGAAACAGTTGTCGGTGTAGCTGTGACTCTGCCAGCACCTGAGGGAACCCTGTGTGGCCCAGGGGGTCTGTGGCATCAGCAACACTGGAGGACACAAGTGTCACACGGATCAGAAGCATTGCCGGCTGGGCTGGCTGATGTCAGGGAACTTGGTCTCCCTGGGTATTCATAGGAATAAAGCTAACTGCTGCTTTTTCTCACAAGTAAAATGTATTTTCTGTGTTGGAAGCGGGACGAGTTGGAGCCATCTGAGTGATGTCTTTTCCCTCAGAAAACACTCATGTCACACAGAACAGAGGCACAGGCGGCTGGAGTGGGAGGTGGCTGCAGGGCCTGGTTGGCACAGAGCCCATGCTGGCCTTTCTCTTTACAGCCACACATTAGAATGGCCAGGAATAGTATTTGAACTCAAAACCCTGGGGTTCTTGACAAATCTGTTATCTTATTGGAGTTTTAGGATCCAAACACCCTGACTGACAGTCACTGATCCTGACATACTGATATCCTGACTGATACTGACAGTCACAGGCTGGTCAGTATTACCATGCTGCTCACATCTCCATCTCAAATGCATTCTTTTATTTCTCCAATTTTTCCCCTCCCTTGGATAACAGTCAAAACTTCCTATAGAACACATGGTTCAGTAGAAGGGATTTTGGTCTGCCACAGGGCTAGATCTTTCATCTGTCATGGACCTTACTGTTCCTGGGGACCTGTCACAGCTGTGGCACAACCAGAGATTCAGCTTTTGGGGCTTACTTTCCCCCACAGGACATCTGGGCTTCGTGCATTGTTTCAGGCAGAAATTTAGCCACAAAGCACAAAAAGCTTTACTGACTTTATACGCACAGGAAATGCAAGTTTTAGCCACAGAAATTCAGCATTGCTCCATTTAGAATATGACAGCCAAAGCTTAAGAAGCATTACAGAGGAAATGACAATTTGGGTTGACTGTTGTAATGGTTTTGCTGCTCATCTTCCTACTACCACAGCACACATGAATGAGAGTCACTTTGGAGTCCCTCTCTATTGCTTTATCCAGAGAAGGTCAAGAAGAGCTTGGCCCACATTTCAGTGGGCCAGCCTGTGCTGGCTGTGCACCCTGTGAGGTACTCCTCTGGGCATGACAAAATGGTTGTGTGCAGCAGAACAAATCCACCTAGCATGGGAGCCTGGAAATACCAACATTGTTACATCAGCTGAGAAGTGAAATGGTAGAGAGAGGGCCTGGCCACTACATTCAGACACAGGAATTGAAAGAAGTCATTTCCACATGGTCACAACCAGAATCAGACATTGAAAACCAACATTCATTTAATGGACAAATCCACAATCTCCTGATAATCTTGCCTTCTTAACTCCTTCCAGGAAAGCTTATAACAAGCAAGGAAAAAAACACTCACCAAAATAAGCACTGCCCCGACCAGATCACATGTGCCTGGGAAGCTGTGCAGCACAAGGAGCTGCAGGACCATGGCGATGACAATCTCCAGGTGCTGCACAGTGCTCACCAGAGCAGGGTGGAACTTGCCCAGGGCATAGTAGACCCCCAGGAAGGCTGCAGTGGAGCACAGGCAGATGGTAAGGAGATAGCTCCAGGTTTCCCCGTCTAGTGGGACGATTGGCTCTTGGAGCAGGAACATGGTGGATGCTCCCCACACTGTTCCCGTCCAGCTGAAAGTGAACAGCGCTGTCCACATGCTGATGTTGTCTTTGATGGACCTGTAGACTATCATGGAGAGGGCAGTGGTCAGACCAGCCATGACGGTCATGGTGTAGCCAAAAGCTTCCTTCCAGGTGCTCAGCAAAGAGTTCTCCTCCTTAACAATGTTGGGGATCATGACGAGACAAACACCGAACACACTGCCAACAACAGTGACTATGTCTATATAAGCCATTCCTTCATCTATGAGTAAAAAAGCCAGAATGGCACTGAACACTGTGGTGGTGGCCCTCCACATGATGGTCCCATTGCTGGGGGGCACTATGGAGAAGGAGGTGTAGGCACAGGTGATGGAGATGACATTGCAGACCCCATAGAGGAAGAGCCGGAGCCTGTAGCCTTTGGGGCCAAAGGGAGGCTCGTGGTGGTAGCACACAGCAGTGAGAGACAGCAGCTGCAGGACCGAGCGGATGAAAATCAGCTCCAGAGATGGCACTTTGGAACGGTCAGAAATTAACCTTGTGATCAGAGCCACACATCCATGAGCCACGGCAGACCCAAAAAGCACTGTCCATGTTTTCCTGGACTGCAGTACATTTCCTTCAGGGAAGTGCTGGGATTGTCCACCCTCATCACGTTTTGGCAGTTGTGCTGGCTTGATGTCTGTTGCACCAAAAAAAGTCTTTTCTCTCTTTTTCCCATCATTCAGTAGTCCTCTCGTAGGATTATCCTCCATAAATACTCCAGTATCTTCATTAACATCCTCGTATCCATCTTCTCCTGGCTGGGGGTAATGAGAGGTGTATTTCACTGTTACTGTGCTGGGATGAATTTTCACTCGCTTTTTGACTGGGTATTTTTCAGAAGATGTATCCATTTCCTTAGAGAAATGCCCTGGTCTTAAGAAAAAAAATGGAGATACACTGTTATTTAATGAATAGTGAGAGATTAATTCGAATGTAAGTGCTTTTAGTGTTTACAAGCTGTTTTAAATCAACCAGTTCCAAGTACTAGTAGCCTCTTCCTGGTTTTGCTTTAATTTTCCATTGAGTAACTGCTAAATACCTTTGATGGCTTTGGGGGCCATTTGGATCTCCTTAAAAGTCAACCATGGCACTTCACTTCAGTCACTGATTTTTGAAAATAACATATTTTGTCATTATGTATGGTATACATAATGAATTCTAGTATATTTTAATAAGAAAGCTCTCTTGCTAAGCTTTTTACCCTGTAATTACGCATTACTATTAATAGCTTACCAGTGTTACAAGATTACACGAGAAATTTGGCTGGAGGAGATGACAAGAGGGTAACACAGGGAAAGAGGGGCAAGTCAGCAGTTTGCATATGGATATCAACACATCTTTGAACACAACCGGGACAGTGTTAAACCCTTCTGTCTCCTCGTGAAGGCCCATTTCTCACTACACAAACAGTGCCTGTGATGTGGGGTGGGGCAGTTGTTCAATTAAGTCAGGGGAATGTCACTGAAATGACTTTTCATACCATCTGTGCAGAGCTTTCCAAGTCTCTTCACCCCAGCAGATAAAACCTGTGTAGACCATACCTGTGACAGAGGCATTCGATCCCAAGGCAGAGGGGGAAAACACCTCTTCATCATCTACATCTTCAATGGGCTCTAGACAGAAACAACAGTTGCTCTCAGGTACCAGCAGGGAAGGTTACAACCATCTCGGCACAGAAAATAAAACCCAAGGGAGGCTCAAACCCCAAACCACTTTAGACGGAGAGAAAGTAATCCGTGGCATCCTGTCAAAACCACTCCTCAGCCATCTCCTAGAGTAACTGAGGGAACCGATCCAAAGAACAAGTGGTGGCTTGTGAGCTACGGGTCCTACAGCTCGACAAGAAGCCGATGCACCCTCCCACGCCTGCTGTGCTGCCCCACGGGCTGCAGAGGAGAGGGAGCCCAGCAGGACCCACCCTCCCTGCCCGGAGCTCCCCCCCGAGCCGAGCTCTGCCAGCAGCAGCAGCTTGGGCTCTGCGGTGACACCGCAGGATGGGTACAGACAGTCCCTGTCCCCAGGGAGGGCCGCAGCATTCCTGGGGGTCCTGGAAGTGCAAGAGCACAGCTGCTGGCCAGAGGACAGCAGATTGTCAGGGTCAACGCAGGTCTAAAGGCAATGGGAAAGTGCGGGCAATAGTTCCTCACAGAAACACTGAAAATACCAGGTTCAGCCTTGGCATTTTCTGTGCTTGTCATCTGTGACAGCCAAGAATCGCCTGTGTCTCTGGCAAATTAATTTACATGAGAATTGGACAATCTGCCTTTTTCCTCACAGGCTGAGTGTTCATTAACCCCCTGTTAAATCCCAGCTGAGCTGTAGCCGAGTCCCTGCTCTCCTGCTAGGGATGAACGGGAGCGGGGCACGGGCGGGCACCAGTCCCAGCTCTGGAGGAAGCAGCAGCCCCGGCTTGGACCTGCACGAGTACCAGGGGCTGAGGACCCAGCCTCTCGAGTCCCCCTCGTCTCTCAGGAAGCCTTGCCCAGCACTGCTGTTCACGTTTTTCTGCTGCAGAGCCAGGGTCAGAGCACACCCAGCACGGTAAAGACTATTCCAGGGTGCCCGTGGGCAGCTTGCTGGGCAAGGAACCCGAGAGCGAGCAGATGAACGCCAGGGAGAGTAAACAGAGCTGGGAATCAATCAGCTGTGCTAGCGGGCACTTCAAACAACACATCAACATTTACCAACACCTGCCAGAAATCTGCCCCAGGCTCACCTGCTACCTTCACTTTTCCTTCAGTTAAATTGTTCATTTCCCAATCTTTTAACATGCAAATGTAAACCGCACTGAGGGAGCCTAGGAAGGCAGTGATTTATACCTTCACAGCTTTTCTCACCTAGCATTTTCATTGTGCAGTTTTGCCTTGCAGCCTTAAAAAAATTAAGACTTTCTTGCTTTAAGGCACAACATACTGGATCGTGAATAAAATAAGTGGGAGGAAAAGAAGACAAGAGTGGACAACAGGAATTATTATTAGATTGACGGTAGACCACTGGGTAAACTCATTCATTTCATTAAGAAACAGCTGGGTAAATGCTGCAACTGTTCCTGAAAACAGAACCAAAATAGCTCATTTGTTAGCATGAGCATACAACGGTAACCTTCTTGCTTCCTGGCTTTAGATTACATTTTCTTTCAACATATAGTTCCAAATTCAACACAACGGTTGCGAATGTAGCACGGGACCCGTGCAATGTGTTCAGGGATCTCTCTGGAGGAAAACAATAGATGGTGAGCGTGTCGCTCAAAATGGCTGTTCTGCACAGAGCTGCTCCCTCAGGACTGCTCAGCTGGGAACCAGAACAGTTGGCAATCTGGAAAGTGGAAGGGCAAACACGTGTGAAAGGCAAGAGATGGGAAGTAATAAAGAACATAAATAACAGGAATGCTTAGCCCAGAATTTCATTTTTCCAACTAAATACTGAGTGTATGACAAATGTGATGCCAACAGTACATTTGTTTGTAGTTTTTGGTGACCTTGCTTTTCTTAACCTGTGGCATTTTCCATAGAGACTGGGATTAGGGCATATCCCAGATCCATTATGTGTGTCCCTGACACAAATTTAAAATAGACAGAAATCAGCACAGCCTATACAGAAAACTTGCTACTTCTCTTTCTGCCCATGCCTTTTGTGGAGATGACATGAGCTTTTTAGTTTTCCTTCATATCTGGAAACTTAATGTAGCTTATCTGCATTTTCTATTAAACTCACAAGTTGATTGTGAATCAAGTTTAATACAAGGCTGAGATGAAGCACTATGTGCAAAATTCTCAAGTTACATAACAAAACAAACATTCCCAATTCTGACCGGGACACCCATTTAAATTACCAGCTCATTGAAATCACTGACTTCAAAGTGTGAACCCTGTTTTCCCTTGGGGGAACAAATAATCACTGTAAATCAAATAACTGGCACAGATCATTGATAGAATGCAAACCATGATTTATTTTAAAAGAAAAACATCCCCGAATACTGCCCTCCTTCCCCCAGCACTGCAAGTGCTGGTTAGTCAGGTGGAAATAGGTGATTATCTGTCCCCCGACTGCTGGGGTTAGATACTCCCAGCCTGAACTCTCCTTCTGTACCTGAAGGAGTAAAGGCTTCCAGGTCTCGTAATTCTAACCACAAATCTTGAATAAACTCACAAAAAAATACTCTCATTTTCTACCAGATTGATTAAAATCAGTCAGGTTACTGAAGTGTTATTATGAAAGACTCGCAGACATGGCAATTCCAGCTATGGATACGGAGTTGGGAATGAGTCAGCTACCCCTGCACTCTGAAAGACAGGCCCCACAGGAATGCTCCTTTGCTCCTTCTGTGGAAAATCTCCCAGTCCTCACCAGAGCAGGCTGAAATTACCAGAGCGCTGTGAGCAGTCTCTACAGGATAACTACAGACTGACAATTCTCCCTGAATATCACACAAAGGAAAGACCCACCCACCCCTGGAAACCCACGGAACTGACTGAACTGGTGCCACCTTCACTAAGCGCACGTGTGCACTGACTTCTCAGCATAAGGGATTTTCTTTTGATTCCTTATCAGGTGCAGGAAAATCTCCTAAAGTCATGTTTCAGCACCATTAAGCCACCTGGAAATTCTTAAGCACTTCATAATTCAGACAACTGCACATGCTGAGGGATCTACACTCATGTGGTGTACAAGTACCTTTATCATTTTAGCCAGATTGACATAAATCAATTTGATTAAAAATACATTCCAAGAAACTCGAGTCTTTATTAAAATTTAATGAATAACAAAAGGTATTTAAGAAAATGAAGGACCAATTACATGAAAGGAGTTTTTAGCACAAGAGCAAATATTATACTCAAACCAACAAACCATTATCCTGTGTCTTCAAATTAATTGAGTCACATCCAGCAGCACTGCCTGAAGGACAAGCCAGCACAACCTTCACTGAATAAAAATACAAACCCTACGCTAAAGTCCCAAGAGTTGTCAGTACATTCCTCATAATATTTTGCTAACCAAAAAACGACCTCTGTTTGTGGTAGCTCACTGAAGCAACCTCCTTTGATGGGACATACCTTTAATTTCCTTTGCTTTCTCTATTCTCTTGCTGAATACCGGCTCCATTTGCAGCCGTTTCCATGAAAAAATACTATTTTCTAATTTCTCCATTCATGCCTGTTGCCTGCTGCAGCTCCTACCTCTGCAGCAGCAACACTTGCATTGAGTGATTTTGGGAGAAGAGCCACTTTGCCTGCAAACTTCCCATTCCAAAAACCCTTATCTGAACAAACCCATAGCATTCACATAGCAATTCCAGGCACGGGGGAAAGAACAGAGAATACATTAACACTGAAACGTAGTCCCCTACAGCAGAGGAAACCAGGAAAACAGCTTAGTTAGATGTAAGAAAGGCTTTAAGAGGTACATTACAATGGGGCGAAGCACGAGACGGCACCTTCGGTCCACGACAGCAGATGACAGGTCGAGATTAGAAAAACCTCACTCACTGCTCCGGATCCTCTCCCAACAATGTGCAACCCCCGGCAGGCAGCGGTGCTCGCGGGGTGTGCAGGAGGGGACAGTCGCCTGCAAAGCAACCGAGCCCGGGAGCGCGGCGAGGAGGGCGGCACCAACCGCGATGGCAACAGTCGCTGATAAGAGGGCACTCGTCAGAGGACGCGGGGCGTCTCCATGGGAACCCCGGCAGCGGCTCCAGGAAAGCCCCTCCGGGCAGGAGCTGGCGCAGGGCGGTGGCTGCCCGGGCTCGCTCCTCGCCGTGCCGCGCCCTCCGCGCCCGCCCC